CTCAGAACAGGATTTTAGGCCAAGGTGTTTGCTACATTCTACATAAATAAAGCTCCTAGGAGCTGGGTATGGTGCACACTACTCCTGTAATCCCAGCAACTCAGGAGGATGAGGCAGGAGGACCACAAGTTAAAGGCCAGCCTCAGCAACTTAGTTACATCCCATCTCAAAAATTTTTTTAAAGCGGCTGGAGAGGTAGCATGGTGGTAAAGCGCCTCTGGGTTCAATTCCCAGTACCAAAACAAACAAATAAACAAATCTCCTGGTTTTTGGTAATGAAGGTTCAGGTACTGCTTAAAATCTGGGGTTATCTGGTTCTCAGGACATCTCTGACCTGACTTTCCCAGGAAGGGGAAAATGAGGCCAGAGGAATATAGGATGACTTCCCAGCCTGAAGAGTTCATAAGAGCAGGCTGTGGGACAAACAGATATCCCCAAATGCCATACAACTGAATGGAACCACTGACTGGGTCACAAGGAAGCAGAACTGGGATTGGCTATGTAGGACACACACAGACTGGGTTCACAGAGGCCAAAAATCAGGAGACAGAACTCCTAACTGATTCTTGCCAGGAGTGTGATTTGGCCCTCATGTCCCCTTCCATTATTGCTCTATAAGTCTGAAAGGCCCAGCTCTTATCCCTTGTCCCTTTGGCTTTCCCTGAACACTCCAACATGAAAGCTTATTCTACACCTGCTGGATTCTTCTAGCAGTTACCCTGCACATCTGATCAAGAATGACATGATATTTTTCTTAGCTATTGGTTCATTTATTCATTCAACAAACACTTGCTAGCAAATGCTCCCTGCCAAGCATTGGTATGACAGGGAGGGGCACCCTGCAACGGGAGGACAGCCAGATCCTTGATGCATGAAGCTCACAGGCTAGTGGGGGGCAGAAGAGAGCAGAACAAGTTACAGATGGACTTGTTAAGTTGTGAGAAACTAGGGGCTGAGAAAGACAATGGGGCAGGAGGACTTCACAGAAGGCTTCTGTGAGGTGACACTAAACTTTTTTTTTTTTCGGGGAGGGGAGCAGAGAGCCCCCTGAGCCACATCCCCAGCCCTTTTTTATATTTTATTTAGGGTCTCACTGAGTAGCTTAGGACCTAATTAAGTTGCTGAGGCTGGCTTTGAACCTGATCCTCCAGCCTCAGTCTCCTGAGCTGCTGGGACTTCAGGCATGTGTCACCACGCCCAGTGGTAACACTGGATTCTTAATAAAGTTGTAGATGTTCCATATTTGCATTTTGTGGCTCCAAGAGGCCTGAGGGCAGGGGTAGTATAACCATCCTGATGGGGACTCTTCTACCTATTATCTGAGTGTCTGCCTGGTGAGCAAGAGCCCCATACCTGGCACTTCCCTTTACTGATCTGGCAGCAGCAGCAACAAAGACAAGATCAGCAGCCCCTGGAAGCACTGACCCAACAGAGCTGTCTGTAGCTTGGACTCACAGAGCCCAGACTCTAGTAGACCAATGACACAGGTGTGCCTGAGGCCTTGGAGATTTGCAGGTTTAAAGGGAACCCGACCCCTGCTGGACACCTATCAGTTGGTACAGCTTGTCAAAGGGCAACTTGATGCTATCATCCAAAGACAGAAAATACATATGCCCTCTGACCCAGATAATCCCACCACTTAAGAATCTAGCCTAAAAAATACAATCATGTGTGTATAAGAAAATGTGGAGGTGCTGGGCATGGTGGTATATGCCTATAATCAGAGCAACTTGGGAGGCTAAAGCAAGAGGATTGCAAATTTGAAGCCATACCCAATAAAGTGTATATATAATCATTATTTTTTGTTAATTAAAAATGAAATAAAACCAAAAATAAAAAGCAAATTCGAGGCCAGCCTCAGTAACTTAGTGAGGTCTGGTCTCAAAATACAGGGTTGGGGACGTAACTTTGTGGTAAAGCACCCCTGGGTATGGAAAAAAAAAAGAAAGAAAAAGAGAGAGAGAGAGAGAGAGAGAGAGAGAGAGAGAGAGAATATGAATATGTGGCAGCATATGCAAGGCTCTTCCATTTCAAGTAGCAAAATAACGAAGCAATGTCAACATCCTCAGCAAGGGTTTACCTGTTCAAATAAATCATGGTACATCCTAACCATGGGATATGGAGACATTTAAAAACTGATCTCTCAGGCTGGGGATGTGGCTCAAGCAGTAGCGCGCTCGCCTGGCATGCGTGCGGCCCAGGTTCGATCCTCAGCACCACATACAAACAAAGATGTTGTGTCCGCCGAAAACAAAAAATAAATATTAAAATTCTCTCTCTCTCTTTAAAAAAAAATTAAAATAAAAAATAAATAAATAAAAGCTGATCTCAAGTGGCTCAGCAGTAGAGCACTTGTCTAACATGTGTGAGGCACAGGGTTCGATTCTCAGCACCACATATCTAAAAAAAAAAAAAAAGTTCTATCAACAACTAAAAAAATAAAAATTAAAAAAAAAACTGATCTCAAGATGACAGCATTAGTGAAAAGAACTGCTCATAGAATAGGAGGCCATATAATTACATAAGTCAGAAAGTGCTTTAATGTGTGCGTTCATATAGCTATCAATAAATGCACAAAGTCTGCCAAGACACAAACTGAACTGACCCAAGGACCATATCTGTTTTCTGTGAGAACGGATATTAGGTGGCTTTTTCTTCTTCTCCTTCTTCTTTTTTTTTTTTTTAAGTTTTTTCTTTTTAGTTATAGATGGACACAATACCTTTATTTTGTTTTAATTTTTATGGGGTGCTAGGGATTGAACTCAGGGCCTCACGAATGCTAGGCAAGCGCTCTGCCACTGAGCCACAACCCCAGCCCCTTTCTTTCTTTTTGGCAGTGTTAGGAATGGAACCCAGGGCCTCATGCATGCTAGGTAAGCACTCTACCATTGAGTCATACCCACTGCGGATTTTTACTTTTTTCTGTACTAGGATTGAACCTAGGGGTGCCTTACCACTGAGCTCTATTCTTAGCCTTTTTATTTTGAGATAGGGCCTCACTAATTAGCTGAGGATGGCCTTGAACTTGCAATCCTCTTGCTTCAGTCTCCCAAATTGCTGGGATTACAGGCATGCACTACCTTGCTTCACTACATTTTATTTTATTTTTGTGGTATTGGGGATGAATTCTAAGGCCTTGCATATGCTAAGCGAGTGCTCTACTATTGAGCTATACGCTCCACCCTTTTTATTTTAAGACAGGGTCTTGCTAAGTTGCTGAAATTGGCCTCAAACTTGCCATCCTCAGGCCTCAGTCTCCCCAGTCACTGGGATTAGAGATGTGTGCCACCATGCCCAGTTGGATCACATTCAGCACATACCTTTACCTTTCATTCCACATTATTCCACTATTTTTGACTTCTTCCCCCCAACAATAATGAATTATTATTTGTGTGAAGTATTGCTTATGTGATTTAAAATGCATTTTAAAAAGATTTTTTAAAAACACAAGAAGCAATGCCAAGAATTCAGCTGGTTTTTCTCGGTAGTTCAGCTTAATGCTTCTGGCCTTTGGTTTCCAGCACAGCCCAATCCTTCTTTTCCAATAATTCAGTTTCTCCAGCCTTCCATAGCATTTGACCACTTGTAAACATTTCCCTCGCCATTCAGAGATCCTTCTCTTATAGAGACAGCCACAGGGGAGAAAGTTGTCATCTGGAAAGTTCCACAGATGCTTCATAATCACTGCAACAGAACTTCCTGACTAAAACTAGAGGCTCAAGTCAAGCCAACAGGCTGCGGACTATTTCTGTGGAACTCAGCAACTCTCCAGAGGCCCAGGGTAGGCCTAGCACCCTCATATCTAACCATGAGAATATGGGGAAAAGCAGGGGATTCCAGAGTGACAGAAGAGCCAAGGCAGCCTTCTGGATCCTTTAGATCTGAAGTTGAATCCTGCAGATTTCTGCATTTGCGGGACACAAACAAAAGATGCTGCCTATTCACCACCAATAACTGCCATCCAGGCTTTACTCCTCCATCTCTTTCCCACTGTTCACAAACCAAGAGAAGTGGTTGGGCTGGACATAAATCCTCCAGAAAAGTCCATGCAGGAAACACCAGTCCCATCACCCATTCCTCTTCTGATAGCTAACCTTAGAGGCAAGAACTCCTTTGCATCATCAGCCTTTCCAGCCAGCCCTGCCTCCATCCTGCGCACTATGAACAGAAAATGCTTGGCTAGGGCAATGGCACTGAAATGTTACACCAATCTACTGATTCTCCTAAGAACTCAACAATGACCTGAAAGAGGGCAGCAGAGTGGACCAGGAAACCCCAGGAAGGGTGGATGACTTCAAGGGAGTAAAAATTGTATTTGCTAAAAATACAAATCTCTGATCTTTGTTTCTTAAACTGAACGAACATCTCTAGGAGTGGAACCAGAGAATCTGCTTTCTTTTAAAAGAACAATCAGAGCCATTTAACTGTGGCGGCTGCCCAGGGAATCTGCATTTTCAACAAGTTTCCCTGGGGAATACAGATAGAGGAAGGGCTGAGCTCCTGCCCCCTGCCCACTACACTCAGCCACACAACTTGCACTAGACTTGCCCAATAGCCTGGCCATCCCATTCCACAGCCCCCTGCCTTTACTCCTGTTGTCCTCAGAGACCAGAAAGCTTCTCCCCGCCTCACCTGGTATACCCACTTCAGGGGCCACCCAGGCACCATTACAGAAAGAAGGCACCTCAGAAGTACCTGAATTTGGTTCTTGGCTCCTTCACTGACCTTGGGCAACAGACAAGAAAGCCTCAGTTTCTCTTTTGTACACTAAAAAACACTAGCTGTTTCACAGGCTTGCTGTGAAGATTCCATGTGCCCAGAAACTGGGTGCCAGATTCCGAGTTACTTTGCTTTCATTTTCCTTCCCCTCTGTGAGCTACTAGAGGAGAAAACCATCCTTTCTTCATGTTCAAATCCCTAGGATGGGACACCTAGGACCTTGGTCAAATGCCTGAGTTTACAAAATGAAACCCTGATCCCATGCCTTCTTTGATTCTTACCTGACCAACGTTGAAGGTCAGTGTGATCGCATAAAAGAAATTAGAGTTGGCACTTCCTGCATAAATCCAGAGGTGCCACAGGACAGGGAAGAGCAGGGAACAGACGATAATGATGCAGGCAAGCACGAAAATATTCCGCAGGACTGCAAAGACAGATGGTCACAGTTAGCCCAGCACTTTCTTCTTACTGGGGTAATCCCACAGGACAGAGGCTAGGGAGGCTCCATGGTTCAAAGGCAGAGCACCACCAAAGGCACTGGGGTGGCCAAAAGGCAAACCTTAGGCCCCTGAGTCAATGGTTCCCCACTCCCACAGCTGGCAGGAGCTCCTAAATTTGGAGTCCTTCTCCTCCTTGTGGCATTGACTGGCTGAAAACCAGCTACAGTTAGCGATGCCATGAATGCCTCTGGGCTCCGCAGAGAAGCCATTCCAGGAAGACTCTGGCCCTCCAGTCCCAACCTCAGAGTGTCCAACCTCCCCTCACCCCACACAGATGCTGTCTGGCCATGTGGGATAATGGGATGGAGGATGAACTACAGCACACACCAGGCAGATTATAGCACAGAATGGGTCCCATGGTACCAGCCTGCCATCTTAGGAACAGGTTTTTCTTTCCCCTTAATCAGGTTCCTGCATTGCTCTTCCAATGTCCCTTCCTTCTCCTTAGATGATAACTTACAAATCTTCCTTTGAAGCCCCCGTCTCCGAATAATCACTCCCTGCCCCCAGAAGGAATGCTTAGTCTGTTACACAGGGTTGTCCTTGGGCAGGCATGCAGAGTCCATCTAGGTGGCTGGATAGACTTGGCCTCTGGAGAGACCTAGGTTAAAATCTTGCTGTCATTTATTAGTAAGTCTCTCTAAGCCTCAGCGTGTAGATCTCTAAAATAGGGTTAAAATGCTTCCTTCATGGGGAGTGTCTGTGAATTAAATAAACTATGTAAAAAACCTGGCCCAGGTGTATATATCAGTTTTCTATTCCTGCTATAACAAATAATAGTGGTTCAAATAATACAACTTATTATCATACAGTTCTGGAAGTTAGAAATCCAGGATGGGCTCACAGGCTGCAATCAAGGTTTGGGCAGGGCTCTGTTCCCTCTGGAGGACCTGAGAGAGAACCCACCTGGCTTGCCTTTTCCTTTAGTCCCTGGCTCACAACCTCCTTTCAGCTTCAGAACCAGCAATGGTAGGCTGAGGCTTTCTCACAGTGTGTCACTCTGACCTCCTCTTCCACTATTGTTGTTTTGGCACTGGGGATGGAACCCAGGGGCATTAACCACTGAGCCACATCCTTAGCCCTTTTTTGTATTTTATTTAGAGACAGAGTTTCACTGAGTTGCTGAGGCTGGCTTTGAACTCAAGATCCTCCTGTCTCAGCCTACCAAGCTACTGGGATTACAGGCGTGCGCCACTACACCCAGCTTCTGTTGTTTTTCAAACAAACTTTACTTTTTAGAGCCACAGAGCCATTTTAGGTTCATAACAAAACTGAGTAGAAGAGAAATTTCCCATATTGCCTGGCCTCCACATAGCTCTTCTACTTTTGGGCATTCTTATAACACTGGGCCCACCAGATAATATTCCTTTAAGGTTCTTAATTTAAAGTCCCTTTTTGACTATTCAAGGTAACATACTCATATGTTCTAGAAATTATGATGTGGATCTCTTTGGGAGTGATAAGGAGGGGAATTTTTCTACCCACACATGGTATCCTTTTTTTTCCTTTAATTCAATAGGGAGTATCCAACAGTAGCATTATATATTATTATTTCTCTTTATACCTTATTGTGTGTGCGCGTGTGTGTGTATATATTTTTTTGGGGGTACTGGGGATTGAATTCAGGGTTGCTTGACCATTGAGCTACATCCCTAGCTCTATTTTGTATTTTATTTATTTAAAAAAATTTTTTTTAGTTGTAAATGAATCCTTTATTTTATTTACTTATTGATATGCACTGCTGAGGATTGAACCCAGGGCCTCATGCATGCCAGAAAAGTGGTCTGCCACTGAGTCACAACCATAGCCCCTTGTATTTTATTTAGAGACAAGGTCTCACTGAGTTCTTAGGGCCTCACTAAATTGCTGAGGCTGGCTTTGAACTGCAATCCTCCTGTCTAAGCTTCCTGAGCTGCCAGGATTACAGATGTGTGCCACCATGCCCAGCTACTTTATTGTATTAAAAAAAAAAAAAAACAACAACTAGTAAATATTCTTTAAAATAAACTAATTAAAAGAATGTTTTTTTAGAACGAATTCTGAACTGGGCCTGATTCCTAATAGGCACTTAATGAACATAAAGAAGATAGGGCACTCCCCAGGGCAGGGTGGAGAAGATAAGAGATCAGCCAGGGACCAAACCTATCCCAGAGACCCACCCCTTGAACCAAAAAGCTCCCAACTCAGTTCCTATCTCCTTTCTGATTCTAATCTGCAGAAAATCCCTTCTCCAAGTCAGAGTTTTAGGAGATTCAAGGTATGGGGAAACTCTCAAAAGGTTAGGCTGCTTGTCTCAGTTGTACAATAACTGGGTAGAGATGCTGTACCAGAGCTTGTGTATTAGAAGGGGTTGGAATAATACAGATGAGATGCAATTCAAGATGCAAAATGAAATTCCAAGGGAACCACAACAAAATGAAATTGGGAGTCTGTAGAGTGGGGCCCAGGCATCCACAGGAAATTTCATAAGCTTCCCAGCTGATTTCAATACACAGGCAAGTATGAGACCCTTGTCAGGAGTCTGCCACAGAGATGCCACTGATCAATGGAAGGGGGAATATAGTAGGGGATATATGTAGTTTAAATTCTTTTTAAAGCCAAATGTTGTTAACATATAGTTCATTCTTTATCGGAAACAATAGGAGCCATTTTGTTCTTGATTTTAAAAAGTTCTTTCTTCTATGAAATGGGGAAAAATAGCTGGTAGTTGATTATTTTAATGCCTTCAGAAAAAAAAAAGTTGGCAACTCTGGTTACCAGTTTTTTGAAATGTTGGTGGTCTGAAATCCCACAATGTGGACACTGGCCTGGAGGTCCTGCAAGGTACTCTTTCATAACCTGAAATTTCCATGATTTGGGGTTGTCAAAGCTGAGAGGCCAATGTCCTAACTCAGGCCTCCTGAGATCTCCCAGGGCAGCCTCTGCCGCATCTACTCTAAGGAGTGTGGAACCAGAGAAAAGGGATGTTTGTACTGAGCATTATTATTATTAAGCAATTTTATAACCTCAAGAAAGGAGAACAAATCAGCCTCCCCTCCTGTACTCCACCATCCTAATTTTCTTTCTTATCCCCTAAAATTATCTTACTGAAAAGAACATACATGGGGCTGGGGTTGTAGCTGAGCAGTAGAGCGCTCGCCTAGCATGTGTGCGCCCTGGGTTCCATCCTCAGCACCACATAAAAATAAATAAAGGAAAATAATATACATTATTCTTAAATAAAATTCTTGGGGACTGACAGCCCAGGTGGTCCTTGGTCCTATGCCTCCAGCCAAAACCTGAGGCTTCAGATGGGATGACAGGAAGGAGACTGAGCGCACAGATGAGAAAGGCTCACATGCAGCTTCTGGGCTGCACAGAGACATTTCCATGTGCTTGGAGGACTGTTACCAGCATCCAGTTGGCTTCTGGCCTGTGGTGACCTTTGCAGGAACAGGGAGCTGCTACTCATTCTTGCTGGCTGCCAGGCCAGAAGATTAAAGCTATATGCCAGAGCAGATGGAACTGGGGACCTGAGGCACAGGACAGCTTGTTCCAGGCACCAGGAGGCGTCAGAGATGACCAGGACCTAACAAGATGAAAGGGCTCACCCTTCATCAGACCTGCTTGGCCAGATGGAGTCAGGTTCCCCACTGCATTCACAGGCAGCTTATCCAATCTCTGGCACCACTACTAGTGAACTTGAACTTCTGGCAAGTCGCTTTCTCTCTTTGAGCCTCAGGCATTCAGAAACAAAATTTCGCTTCAAAAAGTCAGTCCCATTAGGAGGGTCACAAGGGGATTAAGGGGCTTCAAAGGTCAAGGTGATGCTCCTTTCTTAACATGTGCTAGGTTAGGCACATGAACTTACTATGTAACTACTCTTTATAATTTGTATTTATCAATATTAGTTCATCTCTGTCTAATAGTTAATAAAAACAAGACAATATACAGTCAACTCCAGCCCTCTGGTAGGTGGCTCTTCAGCTGGACCACTGCAGACTGACATGGGCTCCACCAGCAGGCTGCTCCCTAACACTGCAAGTGTGCATCTGCCTGACTTATCCTGGCCCCAGGCTCCACAGAGGCCAGCATCCAGAGCCCTTCACTCAGGACAGGGCTCTGATCCTCTCTTCTCCACTGCGCAGTGATGTGATTTGGGGGCAGACATGTTAGCACTGGCAACCAGTATTTAAATTAGATTCCCAACAACATTAAATACATTGATTTGGGCCTGAAAATTTCTCAGTCTCTACTCAGAGGTCAGAGGTCCTTTAGCCCAGGGCTGAAGACATTCGTGGATGAGTATAATTGAGTATAATGAGTCATGGTTTCAAGTCCCAAACAGGTACTCCAAACATGAGTACTCCCTGCTGCAGGTGCAGTGAGTGAAATGTGGGGGTCACTGTTTTCTGTAGAAGCCTTGGACAAGCTGAGCCTGTAAACTCCTTACCCAACCAGCCAGCAACAGCATCTATTAGATCATCCAGGTTTTTGAAATCCCCTCTTTCTTTTTTATGCCTCATCATCCCGGAAGGCATAAAACAGCTTATTTCAAGCTTTGAAAAAATAGGTTTATTTCAATGTCTCTGGCTACCAAGCCTGAAGCTCTAATAAGGGAATGTGGCACGGTGTATGTGTGTGTCATATATGATTATCACTGATGTTGGTAACTGTAGTTCTATTAACATTTTCTTTCTCAAAACTTAAAACACCTCTGAAAGATATTATCCATATTTGATGGAGGAAAAAAATTAGAAGTTCAGAAAGGTTAAATGATTTACATGAGAACACATAGCCAGTAATGGGAAAGCCAGGATGTAGACTCAAGTCATCTGTCCACAGATGAGTTCAGCAATGTGGTATTGAAGACACTATCTTTGTGGGACAGGAAGCTAAAGAAAAATGATCTACTTTTGGGGAAAGACGACCATGTCCCCAAGATCTACCCTGTTATAGATGGGGCATGTCCCTATGTTTTGGTGGCCTTGTGATTTGTCACTGGCCACTCTGTCAGAGGGCCTCAAACTAATTCTAAGCCTGCTGGACTAGGTGATTCTTATCTGTGCAATGAGGATGTCACAGGCAGAAGATGCTGCTTCCTGTTCCCAGTCAGCCCAGAGTGGTCACAACCCCACCAGGCCCTCACCTGCAGGCTTAGCCTGCCCACTCAGCTGTTTACCTTCACTCCTACTGGCAGCTGGTCAGTTTCACTTCCTGGTTGACACCCAGACAAATCAAAACAACAAGGAAACTCACTTCCTTTGAAGCCTGCACCCAAGTTCATTCCTGACATTCTGCTGTGCACCCACAGAGGGTAAGGAAAGTTCAAGGCTCCCTTCCCAGTTTTACTATAGAGAATCAGGAGGGTAACTGATACTACCTCCTTAGGGAGGCTTAAAAAGCCCTCTCCACACACATTTGCCAATACTTCTCTGTATCAGGTTTCCTCCTGGGTGCTGGAGACAGAGAGGCATCTGCCCTAAGGGAGCTCCCAAACATTGAAAAGAGAAGGTGAAGAGCCCAACTGAGGGGAGCACTGGAGCATTTCAGCACTGCAGGCCTCGGGAACACACACAGGTCGCCACTGAGCCATCTTCTGAGAAGGGGAGGAGTAAAGAATTGAGAAGGGTCTTCACAGGAGGCAGAAAATCGGGTGTCATCCAGCAGCTTTCTAGGAATCTCTGGATGCAGCACTGGATAATGGTTTAGAACTTGAGGCCAGAATTACACTATCCAATATGGCAGCCTAGTCACATGTGGCTTCTTAAATTTGAATGTAAATTAAAGCCCTAGAGGACAACATTGGGCAGGGACTCACAGATCTGGATTCCAGTCCCAGCTTTTCCACTTAGTAATCATGTGATCTCACACAAGTGCCTCTACTATTCTGTACCTCAATTTTCTCATCAGGAAAATGGGGATACTTACCTCAAAGGCCAGTGTGAAGATATAATGAGCTTATGGATGTAACACTCTTAGAGTCACAGTGGCTAGGTTCTCAATAAGAGCTCTACAAATGGTGGTTTATATTTATTAACATCTCTAATCATGGCACAGGGTGCCAGGGTTGCTTGAGGCTGTAACCTCTCTCCCAGTGCTGCCTGCACCAGCAAGGGGCCCAGTAAATGCCTATTAATTCCTCTCTCCCTGGCATTTCATCCAGGAGCTAGAATGACACAAATCTGCCACCAGCAGATTGGAGTCAATTGGAGTACTCACATCTGTAAAGGTGGTTCCACACAGGAAAGAAGGCCATGTAGAGTGCCACGTCCCCCACAGTTGGGTAGGACTTGAAGATGGAGATGATGGCAATCTGGATAAACATGAAGAAGATAGGGTGCTCCCTAGGGCAGGGTGGAGAAGACAGAGATCAGCCAGGGACCAAGTTTATCCCAGAGACCCTAGACCCACCCCTTGAACCAAAAATGCTCCCAGAAGACTCTGGGCAGGGGCTGACTTGAATGGGCCAGACCCGGGTAGCACAGCAGAAAACTACAGGGACCCAAAAATGCCCAGAGGTGGTGAGGAAGGCCTGGCAAACATTAAGAACTAGTCCACAGAGACATTTCCCAACAACAGCCACCACTGCCTCTACCAGCTCCAGGCCTTCTCCCAGAAGCCAAGGAGGAGGAAAACAAATGAAGTCAGCTCCTTATTAGCAGGCTTAAATGACTGCTTGTCAGAGTCATCAGGCACCCTCCCTTGCCAGAGGCTGCTGTGACAATAGGCCTCAGGGCAAGAAAGGCCTCCAAGATAATGCTCTGTTCAATGACAATATGGTCAGTGAGGTCAGTAGAGCCTTAGTGTCCAGAAAGATAACTGAAAGCTAGATGCAGTTTTTCAACACTCTGAAGGGCTGAAACTGGAGTTCTTGTTACCTTAAACTAATAACAGTTTAAACTGTGATTTCAAACTAGTAATAAGGGATGACAATGGTTACCATCTCCTGAAATCCTCACTATGTGCTCAAGTCTTCTGCTTCACCTCAAGTGACCCTCACAAACTACAACCACCCCTCAAGATCGGCAGTCCTGTCCATGGCCTTCACAGATGAGGAAATTGAGGTTCAGAGAAGTGAAGTGGTTGACCAAATATCAGTAAGTGATGAAGCTGTCTCCAGAGCTTCTAACCACCACCATGCTGTTCTTAGTGCTTCTGATGCCTCACAGCCCTGGTCAGGAGGTAGGGACAGAGTTCAACTTCCAGTGCTCCTCAAGAGCAGTCTAAGAGCTGAAGGGAAGTGAACAGAAGAGCCAGGTGGAAATCCTCCTCAGCAATACCTACGTGCACACATGTGGCCATTTTTGCACAGACCCTGGATGCTTGAGGTCAGCTTCTTGGAAGCCAGGATAATAAACCGTTTCCAGGGCTACTGCAGTGCTCTCCCTCAGCTTAGAAAAGTGCCAGGGGATGAGCACAGATTCTGGAGCCAGATAAACTGGAATTCTAGTTCCACTGCTTACTAGCTGTGTGATTCTGGGAAAACCATTCCACCTTTCTGAGCATCAATTTCCCCAACTATAAATGAGGAGTGACAATAATAAGATCACGCTATCTCCTTGAGTTGCTGAGTTAGGTATGACTGTGTTTCAGAGAGCCTAGAAAGGCGCCTGGGATGGGGAGAGCTCAAACAGATTAGTCCTCTTACACTGCAGACAAGCCCTTTTGAGGGAAATCAATCAGAAGATTAAAGAGAGCTCAGGCGATTAGCCTCCTAAGGAATCCATCCTGAGTCCCCATGGACAGTCACTGGGCAGTTAATGGAGGATATCCAAACAGATCCACTTTTCCCAAAGAAACCTCCTTAACACAACTCCTGATGTCCAAAATGGTGAGTAGATTCAGCAGCAATGTGGGTGCAGGCACCTCAAAGTGAGTCCAGGGAACATCCAGGCCTCCAAAGCCCTCCCTGCAGCCTGTGCTCATGCATGATTCGCAACTGCTGGCTCTGGCCACTGGCACATGAAGAGACCAAGGACAGGGTTCCCTGAGCAAAGATGACATCAACCTGATGGCAGGGGCTCCTTATATGAAGGGTACCCATAAGGCCATGGGGGGAGAAGGAGGGGAATAAAGAAGCAGCAGGTCCCCCAACTTACTTTAGCTTGATGGCTAAGGGGACAGTGTAGAAGAAGACGTTGATCTGAAACACGCAGACAAAGAAGAGGCTGAAGTGCTCAAACATCTCTGCAAAGAAGTACCAGAAAAGACCAATGTTTGGAGTGAGATCTGGAACAGAAAGTCTGAAATTAAGAAAACACAGGGAGAGAAAAGAGAGCAGAGTTACACATGGTCTGCTGTGCCCTTGTTTCCTCCTGAAGACTTGGGTCACTGCTAGCCAGCCAAGGACAACTTCCTCCTTGTAGAGAACAGGGTGTGATGGTTCTGTAGGTTCCCCGATATAGGTGATTACCAAAAACAAGGGCCAGAGACACACTGAATGATAAGCCATAATAAATATTAGTTTAGCAAAATAAAATCTAAAATGAGGCAGGGATTTATCCTAGAAATCAAGAAAGCAGCCCCTCTTTTACTGCTCAGGTCCATTTAGTCAGGAGCTTCCCAGTACGTAACAAGGAGGAAGGAGATTTAAATAAACAATATCTATTTTAGGCATTCCAAAGACCTGCCCAAAAGAAGTTCAAAGGTCCTGCTGCTCCCCATTCTTGTTCTATATTCCCACAGCAGGAATCTGAAGACTGAGTGCCTGGACCTGCAGTGAGAATTCTAGGGGCTCCAGGAACCATCAGCAGGCTCTGCTAGAATCCTCAGTGTCCAAGAGCTCATTTGAGAAATTAAGGTTTAACTAGAAGATATTTTTGTCTGGTAAAATCATATAAAAAAATTGTTGGAATTCTAACTTTTCTGAAAGTTTACAATTTATACACACACACACACACACACACACAAATACACACACACCTTTTTAATTTTTTGTCACAGGGTCTTGCTAAACTGCTGAGGCTGGCCTCAAACTTGAGATCCTATTGCTTCATCCTCCCAAGTCTCTGGAATTACAGACATTAGCCACAGCTCATTATATTTTTATTTTGAAAAATAACAGAGTTGAGGGGCTGGGGTTGTGGCTCAGTGGTAGCGTGCTCGCCTAGCATGTGAGAGGCACTGGGTTCGATCCTCAGCACCACATAAAAATGAAATAAAGATATTGTGTCCACCTATAACTAAAAACTAAATGTTAAAAAAAAAAAAAAGTAACAGAGTTGAAAGTGATCTCAATTCACAATTTAGAAAGGAAACAAAATGGGGACCAGAAAGGGAGAGACAGGCTTCTCTGACAGAAGCCTCTACCCAGGGTAAGACTTTGCCTCTTGTGGCAACTATATTTCCGTCTCTGTGAAATGAAGTAAAGAACAAGGGCAAGGAGGAAGGGAGGGGATATGTGAGCAGAAAAGATGGTGGAATGTGATGGACATCATTAGCCTATGTACATGTATGACTGCACATATGGTGTGATGCTACATTGTGTACAACCAGAGAAATGAAAAGTTGTGCTGTAATTGTGTACAATAATTCAAAATGCATTCTGCTGTCATATACACCTAGTTAAAATAAATTAGTAAAAAAACTCACCAGTTTTAACTGGGCAAAGTTTGTGACTTGTAGTTTTGTACCGGTGAACACAAAGATGCAAGGGGCCTGATAGAAGCCTTAATGAGCTATCTGTTGCCCTGATACTCTTTTAATCCATGTGAGCACACTATCACTGTGTATAGATAACTATTTGCCCTGATAAGCACAACATTTGCCTGAATAAAAAATTTTCTAAAAGTACAAAACAGAATCTGTGACCTAGCAGAAAGCCAGGCATCCAAGGAAGCGCTAAAAGTGATTAAGTCATTGTTATGCTCAGTCAGGATTTAACAAAAGGAGGAGAGTCCCAAATGGAAGTTCTACCACTCCAGATCCCTTCCCAACCCAAACAGATTTTTAAGTGTCCCTCACCCACAAGGCTATGAGCTCTTAAAGGCTTGAGCAGTGCCTGGCCCATCAGCACTCACACAGAGGGCATTTTCATGAATACACACTTGAGCAAGCCTGCAGTACTGCAAACCCATCTGGGTTTCCTCTGAAGGTCTCACACATAGCAGGTAGCTTTATGCTGAAACTATCATGGATCTTCTGGCAGTAGAAGAATATATCCAATCTTGCTTGAACCTAAGCCTCCCAGTTAGAGGCTAACAATTGCTGTGGATGTTTCTAGGGAGTGTTCTTTAATCCCATTAGAAAAAAGATGTGCTCTAGGGGCTAGGGATGTGGCTCAAGCGGTAGCGTGCTCGCCTGGCATGCGTGCAGCCCGGGTTCGATCCTCAGCACCACATACAAAAAAAAAAAAGATGTTGTATCTGCTGAAAACTAAAAAATAAATATTAAAAATTCTCTCTCAAAAAAAAAAAAAAAAAAAAAGATGTGCTCTAGAGCAGCAGTTCTAAAAATATGTTCCTGGATCATCAGTAGCAACGTCACCTGAAAACTTGGGAAATGCAAATTCTCAGTCCCTACCTGAGACCTACTAAATCAGGACCTCTGGGACTGGGCCAGCAATCTGGGTTAAACAAGCCCTGCAGAGACTCTGAGGCATCTTAAAGTTTGAGGACACCTGCTATAGATATTGCCTCAGTCTGATTTCAGGAGGAGCTATGAAAATAAAACTAACCTACTGAATTTTCTAATATGGTCTTTACTTACATGAAGCCATAGACCGCAGGGATGAAATCCCAGGAGCTGAGAAGGAAGAAGGAGAGGCAAACGATTACCACTAGGCTTCCCACATACATCATGGCATACTCCCAAGAGAAGATCCAGAAGGCTTTGCTCTTCACTTTCACAGGTATGTACTGCCGCTAGGAGAAAGGGCAGAACAGGACATTTAGGAATGCCAAGAAAAGATAAGAAACTACCAGCCTAAACCTAAAGATCCCTTCTGCAAAACCATGCCATGATGCACAGGTTTACAATTTTACTGGGTCTTTAATTAAATAAGAAAGACATATACATTTAAAAGGTGTTGAGGGCTGGGGTTGTGACTCAGTGGTAGAGCTTTCGCTTAGCGTGTGCGAGGCCCTGGGTTCGATCCTCAGCACCACATAAAATAAATAAATAAAATAAAGGTATTGTGTCCAACAACAACTAAAAAACAAAGAAAAAAAATTCTTAAAAAAAAACAAAAGGTGTTGACACATCTGTAACCCCAGCAATTTGAGAGGCTGAGGCAGGAGGATCACAAGTTCAAGGCCAGTTTCAGCAACTTAGCAAAGCCCTAACTCAATAAATAAATAAATATAAAAGGAACTGAGAATGGCTCAGTGATAAAGCACCTCTGGGTTCAATCTCCAATACATAAAAATATATTGTTTATTATTATTATATTTTTAGTTATTATTAATAATAATTATTATAAAAAGGAATTAAGTGTGCATCTTCTGACCTGGGACCTAATAACACCATTCTAGGTGTGCATCCTGAAAATATGTTGCAAAAGATATAAATGAAAGAATATTCACTGTACCAGGAGTCCTTCAATGAACAAATAAATAGTGATAAAATGGCATATGATATATTATTTAGCAGGTTTAATGAAAAAGCCACATCTATATATATCAACATAGACAGATCTTAAAAACAGGAGGTTAATTATCACAGAAAGTCACCAAACAATGCTTGTAAAATGAAAACATAACTATTTTGAGATTATACTAAACAATACTATGTATTATTTTTAAAAATACAGGAACATATCTATAAAAGTTTAATAGAAGGACATATACCAAAGTCATTTAGCATTAGCCTCCCAGAAAGGAGAAAGGAAAACATGACTTTATCTTATAATATTTTATTAAATTTGTCAAAAGCAAATATGAGTTAAGCGCAGTGGTGCACACCTGCTATTCCAGCAACTCAGAAGGCTGAGGCAGCAGGACCACAAGTTCAAAGCCAGTCTCAGCAACTCAGTAAGGACCTAGGTAACTTAGCAAGACCCTGTCTCAAAATAAAAAAATTAATAAAGTTGGGGATGTAGCTCAGTGGTTAAATGCCTCGGCTCAATCTCTGTTACCCACCCCCCCAAAAAAAGGTAAAAAATTTAATATTTGTTTACTCCGGGTAGTAGGCATATGGCTTTATACTATTTTCTGTATTTTTTCCCTTCACTACAATTCTCCCCCACCCACCCCCCCCAAAAAAAAAGAAAAAGAAGAAACATAAAGAAAAAAATGGGAAAAGAAAGCACAAAATAGAAATTAATTCAAACATCAATCGATTCAAATGGACCAAACTGTAAGGAAAATCATATCGTAAAGGAAAGAAATCAGTTATACTGCTACATACTGTTTATAAGACAGAGACCTTAAAATATAAGACAGAAAAGTTCAAAACTAAAGGACTGAAAGAGAAATATTAGGTAAACAGTAACCAAAAAGGAAACTAGGATGTCTATTCTATTATCAGATAAAATAGACTTTAATGCAAAAATGTATTACAGAGATAAAGATGGCCTATAATAATAAAAGGTCAATTCATCAGAAAAATGTAGCAATTCTAAACTTGTATGTACCTAAAAATACATTTGTATTCATGGATGGGGCTGGGGTTGTAGCCCCGTGGTTGAGCGCTTGCCTCGCATGCGTGAAGCACTGAGTTCGATCCTCAGCACCAAATAAAATAAATAAATAAGCAAACAAACAAATAAACAAATAAAACATGGATATAAAAAAACTATTAATAGGGGCTGGGGATGTGGCTCAAGCGGTAGCGCGCTCGCCTGGCATGCATGTGACCCGGGTTCGATCCTCAGCACCACATACCAACAAAGATGTTGTGTC